GAAGCTGTGGATGCCCCATCCCTGGAAGTGTCCAAGGCCAGGCTGGATGAGGCTTGGAACAACCTGGTCTAGTGGAAGGTGTCCCTGCCCATGGCAGGGGGTGGGACCGGGGGGGCTTTAAGGTCCCTCCCAACCCAAACCACCCTGTGATTCTGTGATCAGCTGAGCCTGGCTGTCAGAGAGCACCCGGGGCTCTGCGTGAGCAGCATGGCCATGGGGTGACCGGAATCTCATCCTTGGCTCTTCCTCCTCTCCTGCCTGTGGGTTTGTGTGGTCTCAGCACAGACCTCTGCCCCCCATGATTTAAGCCAGGTCTCAGCCTACACGTGAGTCCAGCTGCTCCCCTGAGGGAACATCAGGGCAGCCAAGAGATCTGCTCTGCCCAGCCAGCAGCCAATGCCCAGTGTGGACTGCATGGAGAGGACCTCCGGGGAGGAAGGCAGGAGGGTGGGTTGGAGCCACAGATCCCGATCAATGGCATTAGAGAAGTGGAAGTGCAGACTTGCAGAGGAAAACTTGGCAACCTGCCTTTCTGTCCAGAGCCAGGTGCCAGAGGGAAGGAGCTGGAAGGGAGAAAGGGAGGATGCTGGCACTGGGAGCTGCATCCCAGTGCAGCCTCTGCCCAGGGATGCGGAGACGCAACCTGCCCAGCCACATGTCAGTGCAGGATGCGCGGGAATTCGGCCTGTAAAATAGTGCCTGGCCATCTGCAGACGTAGCTCAGCCTCGTTAGGCAGCCAAAAGCTCGTCGTTAAGCCTGGCTGTAAGTAGAGCGGGGACAATTAAAGGGACAATCTGTGTCCCGCAAATGCATTGAGCTGCAGAGGCGAATCGCCAGCTCCTGGGAAGCAATGCTTAATTATTCACCACCTCTCCTCTCCCATCTCAGTGTCTCCTGCAAACCGCCGGGGTGGGGCCCACACCCTCCTTAATTGGGATGCCTTGTTCATTTATTATTTTTTAAAGGGACGTTGCTGCATTTAGGCTGAGAGGACAGAGACAATGGTGCCTGGTGCAGGCATGGGGCTGCATGGCACAGTCATGTCAGTGCCCTTCACCCCTTTCCTTCTCCCATAGGTGCCAAAGGGCGGCAGCGTCCCACCGGCCACGGAGATAGTGAAGCCTCCAGCACTGCCCCAGGCCCAGGAGAGGAAGCCCCAGGTTGCCTACAAAACGGAGATCATCGGGGGGGTGGTGGTCCACACACCCATCTCCATCAACCAGGTGAGCTGGCAGGATCTGCGCAACGTCCCAGAGCCCAGGGGTAAAATCCCTGTGACTTCAGCACCTGGCTTTGGTGTCTGGTCCGTGTGTTTCCAGAGCAGCTCCCAGTGGGGATAAGCAGAAAAGGTGGCAGCATTCCCACCACACCCCGCTTTGATCTGCCTGTGCCTCGCTGCCGGGTGCCCTTTGGTGCTTGAACTGGGCTTTGAGGGGCCCCTGCCCGCTGGGTCTCGTGTCTGGCTTCTGCTGCCGTTGCCAGGCCAGTGAGGGTGTGCTGCCTGCCGAGCCGAGTGCGAGGGTGCCTGGGTCTGCAAATCACCTGTTGCAAACGGTACTTGGAATTCTGCTTCAGGATGGGAGAGCACAGGGAAAGCGATTGTCTGGGTGTTATTGTTCATAGAATCACAGGATGGTTTGGGTTGGGAGGGACCCTAAAGCCCCCCCCCTGCCATGGGCAGGGACACCTTCCACTAGACCAGGTTGCTCCAAGCCTCATCCAGCCTGGCCTTGGACACTTCCAGGGATGGGGCATCCACAGCTTCTCTGGGCAACCTGTCCCAGTGCCTCCCTACCCCCCTTTAGCATCCTGCTGTGCCCGCCAGTATCGAGCAGAGCTGGAGAAATGCTGTTCACACACAGCAGCGATGGGCCCTGCCGTTCTCTAACCCTGTGTTGGAGCAGCACGTGGATGTGGGTCCCCTGGCATGGGGCAGGGGCGTGGGGCTCCAGTGGTCTGGGGGAGCTCCAGCCGTGGGGCTGGAGGCAGTTGCTGCTTTGGGCTGTTGGGGAGGCTGGTTTGCACTTTCATTTCTGGTAACCAGCTGGGTGCCTGCGAACCCGTCCCACTCAGGGTGTATAAATAGCTGCACTCGGCCACCAGTAGCACCTCTCCTTTGTCTCACCCTGAAGTGTGATAAGACGAGGGGGCGTGGGGAGGAGGCTACGAATCCGCTTGCCTTCCCGCCCATCCCACACCATCCACCCACACATCCTGGGTCCAAATATCCCATCAAGGTGCCCAGGGCAGAGGGACCCCCATCAAGGCAGCCACTGGCCCGTCCTGGAGGCGGTGGGTGGCCCATCCCGGAGGCAGCGGGTGGCCTGCTCCCCCTGGCTCTGCGCCCCCTTCCCTCGGCACGTGGCCATGGGTGTCTCTCACCTGCGGGTGCTCGGCTCTGGGTCTCACTCCAAGCTCTTATCAGTGGCAGCACTAAAAATAGAGCAGAGAATTAGATCATTGCAGCGGTTTTTTTTTGCTGGCAGGCGCTTTTAACGCTTTCCTGGCCGCAGGGTTTGTCAGGGTGCGAAGGTGTGTGGGGTGCTGGCACCCATCCCTTCCCGGTGCTGCTGCCCCATGGGATGCTGCTGGACCCTCAGTCCAACATGTGGGATGGAGAAGGGCAGGGAAGCCTGTGCCTCCCCCGTGTTGTGCAGCCGAGGCAGCCTGGCTGCGTGCAAACAAGTGGCAGCAGATACCCCCATGCCTTTTCTTTTGGTTTCAGTGAGTTAAAGCTGCTCTTTCCTCCCGACACTTGAGTCTGCCTCCTCTCCTCCCCTGCCACCACCTCCGAGAGCTGCAAGCTCCATCCTCGGCCCTCACCCAACTTCTTTCTGTCACGGAGGAGTTATTTTAGAGGTGGTGCATCAGCTGCTGGACTATTTTCTGCACTCTTGCTGCTTGCAGCTTCCTGGGTGCATCCCATGGTTTCCTGGCTCTGTTCTGTCTGGCTGGTGTTGCTCTGTAGGGATGGCAGTGGGGCGCCCCGCACTCCGGCTGCACCCCCAGACCACCCAGCAGCATCGCCTCGGCTCCTGGGATTAAATCTCCCTCTTGCAGCAGGACCCCCATCTCTGGTTTGGGACACGTACATCTGTAACACCCGGCAGAGCTGGTGCAGCCCAGGTGTGGGAAGTGGGATGTTGCCCATTCCCAGGGCTGGACCACTGCTCTGCCGCTCTCCAGAGGTGCCGGGTACCTGTGTGGGGGCAGCCAAATGGCTGCTTGTCTCTGCCCAAAGCAGCCTCTCGAAGGTGCTGGAAGGAGCGGCGCGGGCAGGTCGCTGGTTAACCACACCGGCAGTCGCATCCTCGCGGGGGCCATATAAGGCTGGTGGCAGCAAGAGCCACCCCGGCTGCCATGGCAATTCTCAAACCTCAGCGCTGAGCTGGAGGAAGGGGTTGGAGGGACCGGGGGAAGGAGATGAGCGCAGATGTTTCATCTCAACCATCCTCTGCGCTGCCGAGGGGGAAGGGAGGGTGCTGCTGGGGACAGAGGGGTGATGCTGGCAACGGGGCAGGGTCCGGCCCTTGGGATGTGCTGGGAAGTGCTCGGCGTGAGCTGGGTCCTGGGTGCCTGGCTGGGTGCACAGCCCATCTATGCTCAGAGCAGTGAGCGTGAGCTGGGGGAGAGACAGCTCAGAGCCAGGGGAAGTGTGAGTTTTCTACCTGAACTCCAAACATCCCAGTTGCTTTTGGGAGAATTTGGCTGTGAAAATGTGGAGTGGAGACTTCATGGCTTTCCAGAGCAGTTTGTTCCCACGATATATTGCCTTCTCCAGTTGGAAAGCATCCCTGCTTTCGAACTTGGGTTCGTCTAGCTCCAGCTTCCAGCTGGTGGATTTTGTTCTGCCTCCCTCTGCCAGATGGAAGAGCTCCTCATACCTTGCATTCCCCCGGGAAGGTCTGTGGTGCAGCCCAATCTCCTCTCGGTGTTTGATAAGCCAGGCGGATGAGGTCCTTTAACTTCCCTGCTGCAAGGGATTTTCTTCAGCCCTCAAATTGCTTCTGTGGTTTTTCTGTAGCCTTTCCAATTTCTTAATGTTGGTTTTGACATGTGGGTGCCCAGGGGGTGACTAGTCCCCAGGCAGCAGCCTGAAAAGCTGTGTGCAATGAGATGAAATCAGCTCTCGGCTCTGGTTCACTCCCTGCTCGTGTCCAGGCATCACCATTAGCCCTCGGCACGCAGTGCTGTGCTCCGGGCTTGCTTCGGGATGCTTTTCCCTCCAGGCAAGTGTCCTGCCTTCTATCAGGGAATTCCACCACCCCTCCCTCTCTCCATGCTTCCGTAACTCTGTGCTCTCTGGTTGCAGAATGGGGGGGATGGAGGGGAGGGCAGCGACATCGCCACCCACCCGCTCCTTCGGCGCTCGCAGAGCTACATCCCCACCTCGGCCGTCAAGCCGCCCAGCGGGCCCCCAGTCCTCAAGAGCGGATACTGCGTGAAGCAGGGGAATGTGGTGAGTGCCGGGGGTCCCCTGGGGAGCAGGGCAGCTCAGCCAGGCGGGTGGCCTTGGGCTAGCTGTGGCCCTGTGGGTCGGGGATGCTCCAGGGATGCTCTGGATGCCGGACTGTGGCAGTGTGGGGGGAGCAGCAGAGCCCAGCACCGAGTGGTCTCCTCCTCTCTTTTCCAGAGGAAGAGCTGGAAGCGCCGGTACTTCGTTCTGGATGAATTTTCCATCAGTTACTACAAGTGTGAGCAGGTGAGTGCCCCCCTGAGCCCCGAACAGGGGTCTGGGGCTGCTGCGCTCCCGTGCCAGGGGCTCCGTGGGAGGCACATCCCAGCGCTGCCACCCCCAGGAGCCAGCCAAGCCCATCACCGTCTCCTCTTGTCTCCACAGGACAAGGAGCCCTTGCGTTCGATTCTCCTGAGGGATGTCTGCAAGACGCACGAGTGCCTGGTCAAGTCCGGGTAATGCTCCTGCCTGTGTTTCCCTGGGCTGTGGCTCCTGCCATAGCCCCAGAGCTCCGGCTGCTGGTGGGGAAGCGTCTCCCTGAGGAGCTGAACCGGAGGAAGCTCCTTCAGGGAGCCCAGCAGACGCTGCTGTGAGCCGGGGCCAGGCTGAGCTGTGCTGCCGCTCACTTTTCCTTTACAACCCGAACGTTGCCGCTTTATTTTGTTTTCAAGGAATTTCTTCCCCTTCAGCTCCATGAGCAGGTCAGGGAAATGTGGCTGGATGCAGGATCTTGTCCTTCTCCTCTCCTGGTGCTGATAGCCACCTGTGGATGCTCCTACAGCTCTCGTCTCTGTAGTTACGGAGTACGAGGCCATGCACAGTAATTAGCACCGTGTCGTGGCACAAAGGTGTCCATAAGGCAGCTGAAAGCCTCATTTAAGCCTTTTCCACTAGCACAGGGGCTGCACGATGGCTTGGGAACAGTTTATTGCAGTGAATGCTGGTAAAATCAAAGGAGCGTGAAGACTTGCAATGAAAAATGAACTTGAGGAAACAAACCTCTTTAGCTAAAGTAGAAATATGATTTACTGATGTATCTTTGACATGTTTCTTCTCAATAAGTAACAGAAGGTTCCTGTTTCAAAGGAACTGTAAATGAGATGGATTGCGGGTCTGGGGAGGGATGGGGGTTTGCCTCCAGAGTGTGAAGGCGATGGTCTCTGTGGAGCTGGAGTTGTCTTCTCCAAATCCTGAGGAGACCCAAGGTTTGCCTTGAGTATGTTCTTCCCCAGCACACTCTAGAAATGAGGGTAAATACGGATTTTTTTTTTTTTCCATCCACGATGACTTCTGGGTAGCGACCATCTCTTTCTTGCTGTTTCCAGTGACCTGCTGATGAGGGACAACCTCTTTGAAATCATAACGAGCTCCAGAACCTTCTACATCCAGGTGAGGCAGCCGGGGCGGGTTTTCTGCACAGTAGGTTCAGCTCGGCAGCTCGTGAGAGCCACGCTCCTGCAGACGGGCAGTTAGTTCCCCAGCGAACACGAGCAGATGAGTCCGGAGCAGCTTCGCCGGGCGGTTTCACTTCTGCCCTCGGGCTTATTTATAATAGCGGCTGTTGGCGTGAGCAGGAAGAAGACAAAGCAAAAAGCACGGGGCGATCCGACGAGCATCCCGAGCGCGCGGGGCTGTGCCTGCACGTCCCCTGTCCTGCAGTTGTGGGCAGCCCTGGGGAGGGGTATTTGGGCATTTTCCCCATCGCAGGCTGAGCTAAGGGGATGAGGCAGGGGCGGGGGATGCTGTGCACGGTGCTCTTGGCATTTGCAACGCCTCAAAGAGCAGCCAGCGTGCCGTGCTGTGGATACGGGTGGATATTCACGGCCGTGGATACCCCTGTAGCCTGTCCATCTGCGTGTCCGCATTGTGCTGCGGCGAGGATCAACGCTGGCGGGGTTTCTCTGTGCCAGGGGCTTGCAGAGGCAAAATCTCACTGGGGCTGGTGTGTTTTGCAGGCAGATAGCCCCGAGGAGATGCACAGCTGGATCCGAGCAATCACGGCTGCGGTCCAGGCCCTGAAATTCCGCCCGAGGGTAGGTCATGTCCTTTCACAGTCAGTGTCAACTGAAGCTGATGCCAATGTACAATATATTTATTTAGTAGATTGTGTAAGTGCCCCGTTAGCCCGTTTCCAGGACGAGATCCCTGCCCTCCCTGGGGTTGTTTGCCAGTTTCTGGAGAAGTTTCCTTGAAAAGAGATGGAAAAGTGAGATTGAGCCATCGAACTGGGCCTGCACAAACTTGCTCCGAGGCACGAGTGAGAGCCTGACTGACAACAAAGGGCCATTTCATTCAGACTTTCACTTTGCTCTGGGGTTTTTTCCCTTTCTGCAGAGCTGTAAAAGGCCTGGTCCTGGTCCCCAGAGCTCAGCACGTTGCTCACAGCATTGCATGTGCAAAACCCCAGCCCCAGCCAGCACTCACGCTGTGTCTGTCCTTGCAGGAAATGTCCTTCATGAGATCCACCTCCATGGTCAAGCCGGGGGGTTCCTCGGCCCCCTCCCAGCAGAGGCAGGCGGCGGAGGAGAGGAAAGCGCTCTGCAAGGCCCCCTCCACCTCCTCCTGGCAGCCCTGGACGCCGGTGCCACAGGTGGAGGGGAAGCAGTCGGCGCTGGAGGAGGTGCCCGTGCCACTGAGACACTCCATCTTCATGCCAGCCTTCACGGAGCGTGACGCCGGAGCTGCGCCGGGCAAGCGTGTGCGGCACAAGTCGGAGCCGCAGCATCTCAAGGAGAAGCCGTTCGCCTTTGATCTGGACGATGAAAGCATCCGGACCTCTGATGTCTGACCGGTTGCTGAGCTACCCCTTGTCTCCGTGTGCCACCTCCCTGGCTGCTGGTGGTCCTTGCGGGGCGGTTTGGGGTGCACAGCTGCACTGTGCCCAGGACGGCTGGTCTCCACGTGTCCACTTGGTGCCTCGGACCAAGCTCACCCTGTTGTCTCGACGGGGGTGAAGAGGCTCCTTCCCTCCACTGCTGCTCTTCCCTGCAATACCGGATCTAGCTGGACCTGCATCCCGGTGCCTTCCCTACCTGCTCCTGCTGGGCTCTGCTCCGGTTTGGAAGCTGCCCCCGGGCAGGGCACTCACTTTGCAGGGCGGGAAGCGCTGGTCCCCAGCACACCCTGGATGCAGGGGTATCCTCTTCTGCATCCGCACCGTTTTCCCCAAAAACCAAGCCTGGAGGAAGCAGCAGGAGGTCTCAGAGGTGTGAAGGGGAGCGTGGCCTTTCTTCTGTTTGGAACAACATTTTTCTTCCCTTCCGTGCTGCTCAGCCTTCCCAAGGCAGAGCTGGGGAGACGCCAGCCTGCAGCTGCCTGCACGAGGGCCATGCTGCGACTTCCCGTTCCAATGATTTTCCCTAGGAGACCAGCTCTTTTCGCTGCCTGGCTAGTGGTGTATCAACAAATCTGTTGGCTTTTAATGACGTATTTTTAGATCCGTGGCTGTTAACCCCCGGCGCTGGTGGGCTCCCTGCTGAGCCCCTCCGAAAGGCTCGTTGCTGCTCTCTGAGCGTGACCTGGGCCGTCAGCCGGGAGGATCCTCAGGTACGGCATCGGTTTGGCACTGCCTATGTCTCTGCACCGGAAAGCTGTGCCCGGGTGGTGACGTGCTTTTAGCAAAAAGCAATGAAAGCCAAGTGTGTAAGTGAAACTGGGAAGACCCATCCGGCCAGCTTGGCTGCTGCCTGCCTTGGGATGAAAATGAGCAGGAGTTGTTAGAGCAACATGAGCTCCCCATGTCCGTAACCAAAACTCCTGTGGGAGTGCGCTAAATAGCGTGTAGAAAACCCAGGTATTCCCTAGGCAGTGAGATCATCTTCACCCCGAAATGTGTGTAATCCTGGTTGCTGAGCAAGGACGCACTGCTGCAGTCCCGCTCGCTGTCAGCAGTGGGTTCTGCTGCTGTGAAAAAAGGGAAGCAGCACGCCTTTGGGTAGGAACGCTGCAGTCCGGAATTCCATTCAGCTGAAGGAAGAGCCGGTGAAGGCATCCCGTGCGTGAAGCTGTTGCGGTGCCCGGTGCGTGTTCCGCGGGGGGTGCCAGGGGCTGCGCAGGGCTCTGCCGACGGGCACGTGGCATTCTGAAGGAGCTTGCCTTGGCCCGCACTGCGCTCCCATCTTGGACACCGGCACGCTTTTCCCATCCTGGTTGTGCTCCAGGTGATAAATCCAGGTGGCTGGTGCGGGAATTGTGTTGCAGGCTTAGCAGTGTGTGGAGGGGCTGAGTTAAGGCTCCCTCTGGGGTGGTCTCCTTACCTTTTTCCTGGGGTTTTTTCTTCTCTTTGGTTTTTTTTTGGCATTACATGTTCTCTGCTCTGAAAAAAAGCTCAACGTGCTCCCCGGAACCACAAAAAAACTTGGTTTGTCCCTGCCCTTTTCAGGTCTCCAGCTGTTTGACAGCTGTGCTTCAGCCCAGCTCAGGCCCAGCCTGGAATGAGCAGAGCTTTACCAGTTGAGCTCCGAGGTGTCGATTAGCCCAATGGATCTTAACCAGATTAAAACTGCATCTTCCTGCATCCATCCCCTCCTGTGTCGGGGCGGGGGGGCTGCCCCTCCCCCCACCCCCGGCTGGGGCCCGGGGCACGGGGAGGGGGGGGGCGCCTCCCCCCCCAGCCACCCTCGGCTGGAGCCTGGGGCAGGCGCAGCTGAAGGTGCCTCGATGCAGCTGGGGGGAGGTGATGGGGCCTCCCGAATTTTGGGGGCACGTTGGCTCAGATGGGGGGTGTGGAGATGCTGGAGAACACTGCAACTACGAGAACGAGTGGGAATCAATGCAAACGGTACAGGGCAAGTGTTAATATTTGTTATTTAATTGTAGAAACCTAGACCACGCTGTTCCTTTTTCTTTTCCTTTTTGCTTTATTTGCACTAGTGTTTGAAATTTTTTTTGTTGTTGTTGTTTTAAGGCTGAGTTGCTGTTTGGCTCATAAAATGGTGTTTCAAAAGTATTTCAATTTGGGAAGCTCATCAATCATAGTCGCAGCATTTGGTGACGGCGCTCTGACCTCGTTTCTGGAGAACATCAAATGTAGAGGGTTTGTGCAAGGCTTCAAAACCGTGGAGCGCCGAGTAGCTGTGTTACTTGGTAATTGTGTTACTTGGTAATTGCAAAGTTTCCTCGGGCCTGGGATGGTAAAGTAGAAGCTTGTTGCACAATTAGGGTTAATTATCCAGGAGGAGAAACAACCAGTGGCTCCAGCGCTCTTGCGACATTCCTGTTTCTCGTTCCCACCCTCCCTGCGTCCCCAAGGCTGGATGTGAGACTGAAACGGGTGTGTTCAAAGTTGAGCCGGGCTCCAGACCCGTCCCAAATGCAGGTGGTGTTGCGGGGAGGAATTTCTATCCAATCCCTAAGGACCAGGCAGATGCAGCCAGACCTGGATGGAGCTTTGCAGCGTTGTTTTCAAGCAAACTGGTGTCCTCTCAGCTCTGCGTGGGGGTGAGCGCGTCCCCCCGTCGCTGCTCCCTCTTGAGAAGGAAGCGTGTGCTGTGAGTTCCCCTTCCCCGCTTTCCTAGGGATGCGTGCAGAGTGGTGGATGTGGATTTCAAGTGCTCTTAGGGCTGGGGTGACGCTCCGCAACTCCCGTGCTGTGTTACCTGCCCCTCGCCTGTAAATGCTGCCTGCAGGAGATGGAACCCCTTTTTTCCTGTGTTTTTAAATAAAGACGGAAATCCCAGTCACTTTTCCAGGCTGTTTGCTTTGTATGTTTTGAGTAATGATTGCTGGGGGGTTGAGGGACTGCAAGGACCTCCGGCGGGAGTTCCCCACGTGCAAGGGGAGATCCCATCCCATCATGTGCTGGGAGGAGCCTTAGGGGTGCTGCAGGGAGCTACCAAAGTCCTGCCTGGTGTCTCTTGTGCCGCCCTTATGGCTGGAGCCCCTTGGAGACCCCTGCTGCGGAGCTGCAGCCAGCTGGGCTGCCTGCCCCATGGTGCCCCACAGCACCCCAGGCTCCCCCCCGCCAGCTTCACCAGGAAAAGCGCCGTAGCCTCTGCTTTGAAAAGGTTTTTGACCTTGTGTGTCACTGCTGGCAGAGGAGACAGAGGCTAACCGGGTGAGAAGCATCCCTGCTTCCCCGCTGGGAAGGAGCACGACAGAGTGGAGTGGCCGTGGGGCGGTTCCAGCTGGCGTGTGTCCTCCCGGCCTGATGTGCGAGTTTAATTTTATTCCTGATGATGTTAAGACAGCTCCAACTATTGCTCGTCTTCAGCCCTTCCATGGGTAAGTGTATCCCAATAAAACTCTTGGTTTAAACCCTTTTTTTCCTTTCAAGGTCCCATTTTCCTGGGGGAACGGGCTGAGCACACTTCTTGTGGACATCTGTGAAATGGGCACAGGTCCTGCTGCCCCACACAGGGCAGTTCTGGGTGTGAGAGGGGGTGAGCGTGGCAGTGGAAGGGAAGACACCAGACCTTTGCCTTTCTGCATACGCAGGCGGGAGGAAAGCTGTCAGACCAACACCCCTGGTATTCCTCAGCGTAGTCCAGGGCAGACTCATACATGGAAGGAATTCGAGGTCGTGCTGCTAGCTGGCAGCTGCTGGGCTGAGGACATGGGGATGTTAATGAGCTTTTGCATATGGCATTATTTTTTTTCTTTCTGGCCTGCTGCATAATTTTCAACCCCCCACGGGCTTTTCAGCCCCATTATTCCACTAGTCAGAAGAATGTGGTAGTTTCATGATGAAGCCTCCCCCACCCCCCTCCAGTGCCCTGAGACCTATTCGAAGCTGCCAAACTCACATTACTTGTGACCTAAATGGGATACAAACCCCATTCCTCGGAGAGGAGGATTTGTTGCAATAAACCACGAACCAAAACTGGAGTAGGCAGAATTCCCAGCCAGATCAAGCCCTGTTGCAGCTCCGTTGGAGGCAGAAGTTACACAGGCAGAAATGAGCCGAATGCAGAGGGTTGGAGGGCCCTGGGTTTGCAGCATGGTGTGAGAACAGCTTTTGCTGTATTTTACATCAAATGTGGCTGGACTTTTGCATATATGGATTTTATGTCTGGTTCTGGCTGGTGCCTTACTGCAGCTTCCTTTTCCCGTTTTTATTCAGCTTGCTAAGTTTTCAGACAGCATCTGGTGGGGCTTCCTCTTTTGGGCGTGAGGTTGCTTGAAGCTCCCACTCGTTTCAGTAGCGCACGCACCCTGTGCTGTGGGCTGGAGCCAGGGGGGTGATCAGCATGGGGATGGGAGCTACCCCTTGGCAGCTCCAGCCCTTTCCCAGCTCTCTGACGGCTCCTGGCTGTTCCCTGCACCTCCGCGTGGAAGCGACCCCTCTGTCACTGCACACTTACGCTATGACTGGCCCCTGCCAGTCATACAGGAGAGAGCTACCCCTTGGCAGCTCCAGCCCTTTCCCAGCTCTCTGACGGCTCCTGGCTGTTCCCTGCACCTCCGCGTGGAAGCGACCCCTCTGTCACTGCACACTTACGCTATGACTGGCAGGGGACAGGAGGAGAAAGGGCAATTTGAAGTGAACACATATACTTTGGAGGGGTTGCAGTGTCCTACAGATGATTGTAGAGTATGAGCGTGGCACAGAAAGCTACATCAATGGACACAACTGCTTCTTTTGAGAGACCTGAACAGTAGCTTTATTTGCCGCACTGTGGCTTTCCCCATCTGCAAGAGAGGAAAGTAACCTTCTCCAAAGGGTGCAGTTTCTACTAAACCTAACCCAGCTTCCCCTGCACCCAGTGAACGTGGTTTTAAACAAGTAACATAGAATTAGAGCTCATCACTTTGCCACAGGGACTCTAACTGCATGTTAGGCTGCTCAACGGTCAAGGTCTAGTAACACAAAACCACAGGCTCGTGCCTTGTGTCTCTGCATGGCTGGATGTGCTCTGCTAATACTGAAAGTACGTGGAGTCAGCTCCTTCCAGACTTTATTAAGATTTGTTTGACCACCTGCGTTTGCAAGGTCTGATTTCTTTTAACTGTCACTGCTTGAAGGGGTAGGGGGGGGATCCAGATTGTTTTAAATAAGCAAAATATATACCGAACCCTTTTGTGTCCAAGATTTGTACAGAGGGATTAACAAGAGTAATAGTTCTGCGTGTGAAGTTAAAGCTTTGTAAATCCACGTTTGTACAAGGCAGAAGCCTGTTCTGATGCTGCGGAACAAGCGGAGGAGTCCGTCTGCGGTCCTGCAGAGACGCTCTCAGCATCCTTTGGGGTCAGCGCTGGGAGCAGCCGTTGCTCCTCAGTACACGGTGCACCAGTTGCTGCCGTCGCTGGGCCTCAGCCCGCCGGTGATGAGGAGAATCAGATCAACAAACCACCAGATCCCCAGTCCTCCCAGAGTCAGCAGTTTCCCCACGGCAGTCCCGGTGTGGCCCAGACAGAATCGATCCACTCCAAAGCAACCCAGGAAAAAGGAGTAGAGCAGAGTGGTTATGAAATAATGTCCAGTGTACCTGCAATGGAAGGGTTGGCTCAGCCGGGGGGGCTGTGGAGG